CTTCTTCTTCTTCTTCTTCTTCTTCTTCTTCTTCTTCTTCTTCGACTTCTTGTTGTTCTTGTTCTTGTTCTTGTTCTTCTTCTCTCTCTTTCTCTTTCTCTCTCTCCATCTCTCTCCCTCTCCCTCACGCTCTCTCTTTTCTCTCTCTCTTTTTTTCTCTGTTTCCCTGTCTCTCAAGCTCTCTCTTTCTCTCTCTCTCTCTCACTCTCAATCACTCTCTCTCTCTGTCTTTGCCTCTCTCTCTCTTTCTCTCTCTCACACTCTCTCTTTCTCCCCCCCTCTCTCTCCCTCTCTCTCTCCCTCTCCCTCCCTCTCTATTTCTTTCTTTGTTTCTCTCACTCACTCTCTCTTTCTCTCTCTCCCCCCTCTCCCCTCTCTCTCTGTCTCTCTGTCTCTCTGTCTCTCTGACTCTCTCTGTCTCTCTGTCTCTCTCTCTCTCTCTCTCTCTATTCCATCACCCACTTCCCAGCAACTTATTCAACTGTTCCGAGCCTAGAAATAAATACAATTATTATCTAAAGATCTTAAAAGTCGCTCATTTATCTTACGTTTCTAGAAATAAGGTAGCCCATGTGTTTTGAATTATTGAAGTCTAGGTATTTGCGATTGGGGGAGGTGGAGGTGGGGATCGTTTGGTGTCAGAGGTAAAATTAGTGAGAAAAATGTCTTCAAAGTACGTTGATTCTCAAAATTGTAATTTCCTTAGAAACTGCAAATTTACATTTTTTTTCTGATTCATTTGATGAATGTTTTTTTTTTTTTTTAAAGTAGTAATTTACGCAAAATTATGTTTTCAAAAAGACAAAAAAGGTAGTGGGCCCAAAAGAAATGTAAAAAAAAATCTATAAAAATTTCTCAACACACTGGAAAAATTAATGTCTGTTGGATTTACTTACTTCAGAACGATGACGCACATTTAATTATTAATTATTAACCCTTTCCTCTCCTTAGCGACCCAAACCCTAACATGCCCGACCTCCCTCAAATCACTTGGAAAGACACCAGCCTGAAGGAGATAGTGAACAACGGCAAGTACCAGTTGTCTGACGACTCTCGGCGTCTTGAGATCCTCAACGTACAGGAGGCGGACGAGGGAGACTACTCCTGCCAGGCCAGTAACTCGGCCCAAACTACCGCCAACACGTTCGTTACTTTGGATGTGACCTGTGAGTTGATCCTTTGGTTTAGTAAATATTTTACGGAACTTGCAACACAATAAGGTCATATAAGTGCCGGAGATTAGAGGTCTTACAAGAGAGTAACAAACACAAAAAAGAAGGAGGAAAGTGTTGATCCTTGACTTCGTTTCACTGTGTCTTTGTCTTTGTGTGGGTGTGTGTGTGTCTGTTTGTCGGTCTGTTTGTTTTTCTCAATGTATTGCTCTCTGTCTCAGTATCTCTGTCTGTCTGTCTGTCTGTCTGTCTGTCTGTCTGTCTGTCTGTCTGTCTGTCT